CTGCAGCTCCTGGGAGCACCCACATCCACTGGTGTGCTCTCCTGGCCCAGGCCTGCTTCATTCAACAAACATTCACTGAACACCTACTGTGTGCCAGGCCCTGTTCTAGACTCTGGAGACACAGTGATGAACAGGACAGACAAAACTCCCTTGCCCTCAGGGAGCTGACAGTCTAGAGATGGAAACAGGCAAGAAACAACAAGGGAAGGGGGGGTGGCGGGGAGAGAGAGAGAGAGAGAGAGAGGAAAGGAGGGATGGAGAACAAATATTCAGCTATGACTACAATGCTAGTAATTAAAATCAGGTGATGTGATGAGCACTGGGTAGCCAGAGATGGCATCGTATGTAATTGTAGTTGCTTAGTTACCTATGCTTTCACTGCTAGAAGAAAGCCATTTAACTTCTCTCAGTTCCCCAACTGGACCATGGGGATTATAACACTTTCATAAGCCTAGGTGGCTCCTTGTCAGAGAAATTGTCACCTGGAAGTGCTCAAAATATGTGAGTTACTCCTAAGTGTACTGTCACTGATTGTAGATTGGGAGTGCCCCAGGGGAAGGGACCAGGTTCACTGCTGACCCTCCAGCCCCAGGTGTGTTGACTGATGGACAGAGAAGTGTAGCCACAAACACATGCTCCTTCAAACAGACACACCCCAGCATCCTGGACTCCCCGACACACCTTGGTACACCGACATGGGGGCAGCACTGACCACCACCATCCGCTCAACCAGGGACGGGTAGTAGATGGAGAAATTCCAGGCTAGCAGTGCACCCCAGTCATGGGCCACCAGGATGCACTTGGAGTAACCTGTGGGGTCAGAGGAAATGGAGTGAGTGAGATGCCAGGCAGAGGTGAGTCAGGGGCGGGGAAGGCCCAGGCTGGGATGGGGACACATCCTCACCCAGGCCCAGGATGACATCCTGGATGTCCGCCGTCAGCAGGTCGACAGTGTAGGAGTCCACATCCGTTGGTGCATCGGAGGAGCCGTAGCCACGCATGTCCACAGCCACCACGTGAAAGCGGCTCTGGAACTCCCGGAGCTGGTAGCGCCAGGAGAACCTGTCCGGCCGGCAGAAGAGGAAGGGAGGTTGAGTCAGGGTCCCCACACCTAGCAGAAGCCTATCCCGGGCAGTGTTAACACAGACTCATTCCTCTTTGTCTCCTCCCTTGGGGCCTCTGGTCCCTGGGGCCTCCTAGACACACCTGTCCCCCAGCGCCCCATCTGAGCCCTATAGCGGTTCGCCCCCAGTCTACCCAGCCCCGGTCCCGCCTCCTGGGTACCCTGGTGGTCCGAGTTCCACCTCCCCCCCAGCCCTGTGCACCCAGTCCCCTGGGCCTCAGACATACCAGTTCTGGGGAAAGCCGTGCAGAAAAAGCATGAGGGGCCCGTTGCCGCGTCCAGCTGAGACATAGTGCAGGCGCAGGCCCGAGCTCTGGGGGAGGCACAGTCTAAGTAAAATCTGGGGAACCCCTCTTCCTTATGTCTGAAACCCTCCCTCCCAACACC